AGGACTAAACCAGGACTAAACCAGGACTGAACCAGGACTAAAACAGGACTAAACCAGGACTGAACCAGGACTAAACCAGGACTAAACCAGGATTAAAACAGGACTAAACCAGGACTAAACCAGGACTAAACCAGGACTAAACCAGGACTGAAACCAGGACTAAACCAGGACTAAACCAGGACTAAGGACTGAACCAGGTCTAAACAGTCGTACCTCCTCTGTGGTGCAGACGGTGGCTCCAGGTGCATCCTGGGAGGTGAAGTCCGTTTCTGCGTCTCCGGCGACATCGTGGATTTCTTTCGCCAAGATCGCCAGGTCTTTGGCCAAATCCTGACTCAGTCTGAGGACCACAAAGTCCAGTTAGACCAGGACTAAACCAGGACTAAACTGGGACTACAAAAGGACTAAACCAGGACTAAAATGGGACTAAACTAAGACTAAACCAGGACTAAACCGGGACTAAACCAGGATCCCGTACTTAGCGATCTCTGCGCTGTGATTGGTCCAGGTCTGGTAGGGGTCGTCCTCTGATTGGATGGGGGCTGTGGAGGGGGCGGGCTCTTCCTCCTCTGATGAAGACGACGCTTTGAGTTTCCGAGCTGCGGCCGAGTCACAAACAGAGAAAAAATAAAACACAACACAAACATAGAGAGAAAAACACTTTATTTTCATGGAATCAATTTGAAATATATCGTATCGAATCGTATCAAAATCGAAAGTTCACTGTATCGAGGTCTGTGTCGAAGCGGCAACTTCTGAATGACACCGGCCCCGTGCATCAGTTTTATTCAGACACTTTTCTGGACACTTAAAAACTCTTTCCAGATCATTCTTCTCTCCACACTCTGTGGTTAAACTCCTTTCCAGGTTTTGCGTCTACGTCACAAAACCACGTGGGCCGATGTTTCTGTCGCCGTATCGGAGTCAAACTCTCCGTCTGCACCAACATGTAGGATTTATGTGTGATAAAATTTGAATTGAACAACAGTCGTTTAGAGCCGAGCTGCTGTTGGATGTTCTGAGTCAATCTGCTGAAGAAGGAGCCCAAAGTGTGTTTCTATCAGATCCCGGCTGATAAAGATCGAGGCACAAACGCCAACGCCGCAACAAAAACAAACGCCGCAACAAAAACAAACGCCGCAACACAACAAAAAGCCACAACGGAAGTGACCGTGGGACTCTATTACTCTACTCCGACAGACCGATCAAGCGGAAAATGAAGAAGAACGACAACGTGAAAAGTAAAGGAATGGAGAAGTTGGAAACGTGAGTAAAAGTAATTTATTGTTTTATCATTATTTGTTTCACGTTGTAGTTCTTCTTCTTCACTTGCCGCTTGATCGGTCCGTCGGAAAATAGAGTCCCACGGTCACTTCCGTTGTGGCTTTTTTTTTGGTGTGTTGTGGCGTTTGTATTTGTTGCGGCGTTGGCGTTTGTTGCGGCGTTTGTATTTGTTGCGGCGTTGGCGTTTGCGTTTGTTGCGGCGTTGGCGTTTGCGTTGGCGTTGGCGTTTGTTGCGGCGTTGGCGTTGGCGTTTGCGTTGGCGTTTGTTGCGGCGTTGGCGTTTGTTTTTTGTTGGGCGTTGGCGTTTGGCGGCGTTGGCGTTGGCGTTGGCGTTTGTTGCGGCGTTGGCGTTGGCGTTTGCGTTGGCGTTGGCGTTTGCGTTGGCGTTTGTTGCGGCGTTGGCGTTTGCGTTGGCGTTTGCGTTTGTTGCGGCGTTTGCGTTGGCGTTTGCGTTGGCGTTTGTTGCGGCGTTGGCGTTTGCGTTGGCGTTGGCGTTTGTTGCGGCGTTGGCGTTGGCGTTTGCGTTGGCGTTGGCGTTTGCTGTGACCCTCTGGGCGTCCGTACGTCACTGACATCAGTCCTGTGCATCAGTTTGATTCAGACACTTTTCTGGACACTTAAAGACTCTTTACAGTTTATTTTTCTTTTACGGTTTGAGTTTTCTCCTGTTGTAGCCACAGCTGCCCTGGGACAGACTGATGGAAGCGCCGGTGCCAATCTGCACCATCGGCCCCTCCCACCTTCAAACTTTAAACTTCAATTTTACAAACTTTTCGCTGACGAACGCAGAATTTACAAAACGATAAAAAACATCATTTTCCTGTTTGTGTTTGTGTTTGTGGAGCGGGATTCTAACCGGTTCCGGCCTTGGACCCGTTGGACCTGGTTCTGGACCTGGTTCTGGTCTGGCTCTGCTTGGCCCCGCCCCCTTTGTCTCCAACAGACGACTTCCTGTTCAGCTCTGCGTTCCGATTGGCCGAGGAGCGAGCTGCAAAAACACACAGACACAAACCGACCAATCAGAGCAAGAGACGCCGGAACCGGGTCAGATCCACTTCTAGACCCGCCCGTAGACCCACCCCCCTGTGGACCCTCTTTAGACCCTCTGTAAACCGGTTGAGATCCGGGTCAGACCTGAGTTCTCGCTGTCGCTGGTCCCGGTGAAAGATCCGGCCCGGTTCCGAGGCAGAGCCAGGATGTCCAGGCGTGAGAGCTTCTTGGTCTCCGGTCTGGTCTCTGGTCTGGTTTCTGGTCGGGTCTCCGGTCTGGTGTCTGGTCCGGACTCGGTCTTGGTCTTTGGGGGCTCTGGGGTCTTGGTCTTGGTCGGTTCCGGTTCTTCGGTGTCGGACTCCAGCCGGGCCCGGCGGAGCATGGAGGCTCTGGTGGGACGTGGTGCAGACAAACTGTTGGACCGGATCAGGACCTGAGACTGAGGCCCAGACTTCTTCTCCATCTGAGGAAAGAGACCAAGTTTAGACCGGGTTTAGACCTAGTTTAGACCCGGTTTAGACCCGGTTTAGACCAGGTTTAGACCAAGTTTAGACCCGGTTTAGACCAGATTTAGACCTGGTTTAGACCTGGTTTAGACCAGGTTTAGACCCGGTTTAGACCAAGTTTAGACCCGGTTTAGACCAAGTTTAGACCCGGTTTAGACCAAGTTTAGACCCAGTTTAGACCCAGTTTAGACCAGGTTTAGACCCAGTTTAGACCTGGTTTAGACCAAGTTTAGACCCGGTTTAGACCCGGTTTAGACCTGATTTAGACCAAGTTTAGACCCGGTTTAGACCAGGTTTAGACCTGGTTTAGACCAAGTTTAGACCTGGTTTAGATCAAGTTTAGACCCGGTTTAGACCCGGTTTAGACCAAGTTTAGACCAGGTTTAGACCTGGTTTAGACCAAGTTTAGACCCGGTTTAGACCCAGTTTAGACCCAGTTTAGACCCGGTTTAGACCCGGTTTAGACCAGGTTTAGACCAGGTTTAGATCAACTTTAGACCCAGTTTAGACCCGGTTTAGACCAGGTTTAGACCAGGTTTAGACCAGGTTTAGACCAGGTTTAGTCCGGGTTTAGACCAGGTTTAGACCAGATTTAGTCCGGGTTTAGACCAGGTTTAGACCAAGTTTAGACCTGGTTTAGATCAAGTTTAGACCCAGTTTAGACCAGGTTTAGACCAGGTTTAGACCAGGTTTAGTCCGGGTTTAGACCAGGTTTAGACCCGGTGGAAACTCAGGATTATTCAAACGTCACAAACCGTTTTCTTGTCTGGCCCCGCCCCCTCCGCGTGTGAGCGCCATTTCTCCGACAGACGGTCCCTCGCCGAGACCGAGACCGGACCAGAACCAGAGCCAGAGCCGGGTCTAGACCCAGAACCAGGTCTAGACCCGGCGGCGGTCCGGTCTTTGTGACCTGAGGAAGAACAGAGAAGAGTCAGGACTAAACCAGGCCTAAACCAGGACTAAACTAGAACTGAACCAGGACTAAACCAGGACTAAACCAGGTGTCTCCGGGGTCTGACCTCGGTGTGTGCTGGGGCGTTTCTTGTTGTTGTGCCCTTGGGCCTGGGCGCTCGGGCGTTTGGCGTTGTTTTCGTTGTGGGCGCTGACGACGCTCGCTGTGCTCACGCTGTCCAAGTCCGAGTCCGAGTCCAGGGCCAAGGGCTGCCACAGGAAGTCCGCTGAGATCAGGTCCTGTGGGGACAAGACCGGTTAGGATCCTCCTGTAGACCCACGAAGATCCTCCTAAAGACCAGCTTTGGTCCTTGTCTAAACCGGTTCAGATCCTGATCTAAATTTTGTACCAGGTCCATGCTTAAGTCTCATACTGGGTCCAGGTCCAGGTTTAAGTCTTGTACCAGGTCCAGGTCCTGGTCTCAGTCTTGTACCAGGTCCAGGTCTAAGTCTCGTACCGGGTCCAGGTCTCGGAGCGAGGGCTGGCTGGAGATGTGGGGCAGTTTCTTCCTCTGGACCTCGTCCGGTCTTTCTCTGGTGAAACTCTCCTGACGAAAGAAGCCCCCAGACCCGGTCTCAGGTCTGGACTCTGGTCTGGACTCGGGCCTGGTCTCGGCCCTGGTCTCGGCTCTGGTCTCGGCCCTGGTCTCAGCTCTGGTCCCGTGGGTCCTCAGGTCTGGAGCGGAGGTGTTGGGTTTGATCCCGGTTCTCCTGGGCTCCTGGTTCAGGTGTCGGATCAGGACCGTGGTGGGCGGGGTCTTGGTCCGGTCTGAAAACGGGACACAGTTAAACCCGGTTCTACACACAAGCTGAACTGGAGCCAGAGTCTGTGGAGCCCGATCGCGCCCGTGAACACTTCCTGTCCACAGATGCAGGCCGTGGGACCTAAACTCAAGTATGAATCTAAGATGGAGGCTACAGTCCTAAGATGGCCGCCGCTGGAGCACAGACTGTATCATTGATCTGTTAAAAAACCTAGAGGTGCTGCTGTTTGTTTCTGTCTCCAGTCGAGTGAAACTCACCGGAACTACAGCGAAAAACCCTCCTGCCCGCGCAAAGTAACACAAACTGCTGCTGACAGGGACTGACAGGGGCTGACAGGGACTGACAGGGGCTGACAGGGGCTGACAGGGACTGACAGGGGCTGACAGGGGCTGACAGGGCACCTACAACTTTAAAAAAAATGTCAGATTTTGTAGTGATATTTAGATCCTAAATGTTTTCTCAGCTTCAAAATCCTTCAATCGTTTTTAAAACAGTTTATTAATCGACTTTCTGGACTCTGGGACTAGTATCTGGTCTGGACTTTGTGGGACTAGTACCCGGTCTGGACTTTGTGGGACTAGTACCCGGTCTGGACTTTGTGGGACTAGTACCTGGTCTGAACTTTGTGGGACTAGTATCTGGTCTGGACTCTGGGACTGATACCTGGTCTGGACTTTGTGGGACTAGTACCTGATCTGGACTCTGGTTTTGGACCAGGATCAGATCCGATGTAGAAGCATGAGCTGGGTTTGTCCGGTCTCTGGTCCAGTCTCTGGTCCGGTCTCTGTTCAGGTCTCTGGTCCGGTCTCTGGTCTGGACTCGGGACCGGACTCTGGACTAGACTCTGGACCGGACTCTGGACCGGACTCTGGTTCTGGGGTCTTGGAGGTTCTTCTGATCGGCTCACGTCACTCAGACTGTCGGGATCCACGTCATCCTGAACCACCAACCACTGAGCCTCAGGTCTCTCCTGGTCCGGCCTCTGGTCCGGTCTCTGGTCCGGCCTCTGGTCCAGTCTCTGGTCCGGTCTCTGGTCCGGTCTCTGGTCCTGTTTTGTCTGGTGCACACCTAAGGAGAGAAAGAAACTGGTTAGAATGAAGCAACAAAGAGAAAAAACAGATCTAAACCAGGTCTAAACTCACCAGGGTCTTGGGTCCGATGAAGTCCAGGTGAGTCCGGTTTCTCGCCCGGTCTCTGAGGCAGGATCCGACGGGTCTTGGTCTCGCTGTGGTCTAAACCTGGTCCAGACTGAGGACTGGATCCGGACTCGTCCACTAAACTGGCCCAACGAGAGACCCACCGCGGGCCCTCCTCAGGACCCAGGACCTGCACAGACCAGAACCAGAACCAGGTCTGAGCACGGACTAAAACTGGACTAAACCATGACTAGACCAAGACTAAATCAGGACTAAACCAGGACTAAACCAGGATTAAACCAGGAATAGACCAGAACTAAACCAGGACTAAAGCAGGGCTAAACCAGGACTGAACCAGGACTAAACTAGGACTAGACCAGGTCTAGACCAGTTGTACCTGCTCAGGTGTGGAGGAGGTGATGTCACTGTTGTACTCCGGAGAGTCCAGGACTCCAAACACCTGCAACAGACCACAGACCGGTTTAGATCCTCGAGTCTGGTTAGGATCCTGGTCTAGTACCTGGTCTTGGTTAGGTAGCCTGGTTACGGTCCGGGTCTGGTACCTGGTCTATCATGCTTCTGGTCTATAGTGTGGTCAGGATCCAGTAGTCTGGTTAGAATCCTGGTCTAGGATCTAGTCTATCATGTTTCTGGTCTATAGTGTGGTTAGGATCCTGTAGGCCTGTTACGATCCGGGTCTGGTACCTGGTCTATCATGCTCCGCGCCCTCTCCACCTCGGGGTCTTGCTCGTTATCAATGGTGTAGGTTCCTGCGTCGCTCACACTGTCGTCCTCTGGTGCCCCCTGCTGCAAAAAAACAGCACCGCCATGTTTGTAGTCCTTATCTTTGTAGTCCTCATGTTTGTAGTCCTCATGTTTGTAGTCATGTTTGTAGTCCTCATGTTTGTAGTTCTCATGTTTGTAGTTCTTATGTTTGTAGTCCTCATGTTTGTAGTTCCTTATCTTTGTAGTCCTCATGTTTGTAGTTCTCATGTTTGTAGTTCATGTTTGTAGTCTCATGTTTGTAGTTCTCATGTTTGTAGTTCTTATCTTTGTAGTCGTCATGTTTGTAGTCGTCATGTTTGTAGTTTTCATGTTTGTAGTCCTTATGTTTGTAGTTTTATGTTTGTAGTTCTTATGTTTGTAGTCCTCATGTTTGTAGTTCTCATGTTTGTAGTTCTCATGTTTGTAGTTCTTATCTTTGTAGTCCTCATGTTTGTAGTCTCATGTTTGTAGTCCTCATGTTTGTAGTCTCATGTTTGTAGTTCTTATGTTTGTAGTCCTCATGTTTGTAGTCCTCATGTTTGTAGTCCTCATGTTTGTAGTCGTCTTATGTTTGTAGTCCTCATGTTTGTAGTTCTTATGTTTGTAGTTCTCATGTTTGTAGTTCTGTTTGTAGTTCTCATGTTTGTAGTCCTCATGTTTGTAGTCCTCATGTTTGTAGTTCTCATGTTTGTAGTCCTCATGTTTGTAGTCCTCATGTTTGTAGTTCTCATGTTTGTAGTTCTCATGTTTGTAGTTCTTATCTTTGTAGTCCTCATGTTTGTAGTCCGTCATGTTTGTAGTCCTCATGTTTGTAGTTTTATGTTTGTAGTTCTCATGTTTGTAGTCTCATGTTTGTAGTTCTCATGTTTGTAGTTCTTATGTTTGTAGTCGTCATGTTTGTAGTCGTCATGTTTGTAGTTCTCATGTTTGTAGTTCTTATGTTTGTAGTCCTCATGTTTGTAGTCGTCATGTTTGTAGTCTCATGTTTGTAGTCGTCATGTTTGTAGTCCTCATGTTTGTAGTCCTCATGTTTGTAGTTCATGTTTGTAGTCCTCATGTTTGTTCTTATGTTTGTAGTCTCATGTTTGTAGTTCTTTGTAGTCATGTTTGTAGTCCTTTGTTTGTAGTCATGTTTGTAGTCGTCATGTTTTATGTCATGTTTGTAGTCCTCATGTTTGTAGTCTCATGTTTGTAGTCCTCATGTTTGTAGTTCTCATGTTTGTTTGTAGTTCTTATGTTTGTTTGTAGTCTCATGTTTGTAGTCCTCATGTTTGTAGTTTGTAGTCTTGTTTGTAGTTCAGTTTTAGTTCTTAGTTCTTATGTTTGTAGTCATGTTTGTAGTCTGTAGTCTCATGTTTGTAGTTCTTATGTTTGTAGTCCTCATGTTTGTAGTCGTCATGTTTGTAGTCCTCATGTTTGTAGTCGTCATGTTTGTAGTTGTTTGTAGTCTCATGTTTGTAGTCATGTTTGTAGTTCCATGTTTGTAGTCCTCATGTTTGTAGTCATGTTCTGTTTGTAGTCCTCATGTTTGTAGTCGTCATGTTTGTAGTCATGTTTGTACATGTTTGTAGTCGTCATGTTTGCAGTCCTTATTTTTTTAGTTCTTATGTTTGTAGTTCTTATGTTCAGTCCTGGTTTAGTCCAGGTTCAGTCCTAGTTCAGTCCTGGTTTAGTCCTGGTGTAGTCCTGGTTCAGTCCTGTCATCACCATGATGGGCGGGGCAGACTTGGGCGGGGTCAGGGGCGTATCTCTGGTGGGTTGGACCAGGTCGGGTCCGGTCTTGGTCTGGACCAGGTCTGGACCCGGGTCTTTGAGGAGTTGGGTGAAGTCCTGGGCGAGTCTTGACTTCCTGCCCACGCTGCCAAAGGGCCGGACCGGGGCGGCGGGACCGTCCTCTCTGGTCGGGGGCTCGGACCGGTCCCTCTTCAGGGAGCTGGACCTCGGGGACTTGGACTCCAGGGTCCCGTGGACCGAGGCCGGTCGGTCCGGTCGACGCCGCTCCAGGCGAGCCCTGAGCGCCGCCTGCACCTCCGACTGAGGAGCGGCACCCTGAGACAGAAACAGGGTCAGGGTTTAGACCTGGTTTATTCCTGGTTTAGTCCCGGTTCAGTCCCGGTTCAGTCCCGATTCAGTCCCGGTTCAGTCCCGGTTCAGTCCCGTTTTAGACCCGGTTCAGTCCCGGTTTAGACCCGTTTTAGACCCGGTTCAGTCCTGGTTCAGTCCTGGTTCAGTCCCGGTTTAGACCCGGTTCAGTCCCGGTTCAGTCCCGGTTCAGTCCCGGTTCAGTCCCGGTTTAGTCCCGGTTCAGTCCCGGTTCAGTCCCGTTAGTTCAGTCCTGGTTTTAGTCCTGGTTCAGTCCTGGTTTAGTCCTGGTTTAGTCCCGGTTCAGTCCTGGTTCAGTCCCGGTTCAGTCCCGGTTTAGTCCCGGTTCAGTCCCGGTTCAGTCCTGGTTCAGTCCTGGTTCAGTCCTGGTTTAGTCCGGACCTGGGGGCTGTGGGTGAAGGACATGGATCTCTTCTTTCGTGGATTGTCTTCGTCGTAAAACTCGATGATGAAGGCCTGCTGAGGGGGCGGGGCCTGCTGAGGGGGCGGGGCCTGCTGAGGGGGCGGGGCCTGCTGAGGGGGCGGGGTCTGCTGAGGGGCGGGGCCTGCTGAGGGGGCGGGGCCTGCTGAGGGAGCGGGGCTTGTCCAGGGGGCGGGGCCTGTTGAGGGGGCAGGGCTACGCGAACAGAGGGGGCGTGGTCCGGATATGGGGGCGTGTCCATGGCGGTCGAGGGCTCTGATTGGACAGGATCCTCTGAGTCACTCTGAGTCCCGTCCTCATGATGATGATCTGCACAAACACACACCGGGTCACCCTCAGGTCACCCTCAGGTCACCCACAAACACACCTCAGGTCACCCACAAACATACACCGGGTCACCCTCAGGTCACCCACAAACACACCTCAGGTCACCCACAGGTCACCCACAAACACACACCGGGTCACCCTCAGGTCACCCACAAACACACCTCAGGTCACCCACAGGTCACCCACAGGTCACCCTCAAACACACCCGGAGGTCTAACCCCGGTCTAAACCCGGTCTAACCCCGGTCTAACCCCGGTCTAAACCCGGTCCCGGTACCTCGGGGGGTCCGGCTCTTCACGGCGTGGTCGCTCTTGGTGCTGAACATGTCGTCGCTTTTGGGGCGGCGCCGCATCACGCTGACATCACTGTGCACCAGCCAATCAGCAACCTTCCTCTGCGATGACATCACGCCAGGGCCCTCCTGCTCCGCTCTGGTCCGGTCCGGCTCCGCTCTGGTCCGGTCCGGCTCCGGTCTTCTCTGGGTCCTGGAGAACTTGGTGACCTGGTCTTTGATCTTGATCTTTCCCGGCGTCAGGTCGTCGAACTCGATGGTGAAGGAGGCGTGGCTCTGGACCACGGCCGGAGTCTCGGTCTGGAACCCGGGACTCGGACTGGACCTGGGCCGGACTGTCTCGCGTGGGGATCTCGAAGTACCAGGGCTTGTTCTGGTCCGAGTCCTCCGAGTCCTTCTGCAGATCTGAGACGCAGAGGAACAGGTGAAGTGCGTTGCTCAAAAGCACAGAGGCAGAGCGGCGGCGGCGGCGGCGGTACCTGAGGGGGGGCGGTCCCTGTAGTCCTGGTCTCCCCACCACGCCGGCTGCCCGTACAGAGGAGTCGGACCTGAGTCTGAGGACCAGACACAAATATCAGACCAGGAACCTGACCAAGACCAGGTCTGGACCAGGTCTCTGGTCTGGACCAGGTCTCGGGTCTGGACCAGGTCTCTGGTCTGGACCAGGTCTCTGGTCTGGGGCAGGTCTCAGGTCTCGGGTCTGGGACACTGACCTGCTTTGGTTCCGGGGGTCTTGGTCCGGTCCTCGGTCTCTCGGTGGGGGGGTCCAGGGGTCGGTCCGGGCGGGGGGCCGTGGGGGGGCCGGGGGGGCTCTGGAGCTGCAGCTGACTCGTGTATTTCTCATGCTGAAACAAACGAGCTCCAGAGTTAAACACACACACACACACACACACACACACACACACACATACACACATACACACACATACACACACACACACACACACACACACACACACATACACACACACACACACACACACACACACACATACACACACACACACACACATACACACACACACACACACATACACACACACACACACACACACACACACACACACACACACACACACACACATACACACACACACACACACACACACACACACACATACACACACACACACACACACACACACACACACACATACACACACACACACACACACACACACACACACACACACACACACACACACACACACACACACACACACCTTCAGCGCCTCCTCTGGGACCTTGTGTTGACTTTTCTCCAGGACGTAGACGTGAGGATGTGAGCGCGGCTCAGGAAACTCACTTTATTATTGTCAATATTAGAATTATTATAAATATTATACATTTTATAGATATTATAATTATTATAAATAATATAAATATTATAATTAATATAAATATTATAAATATTATAATGATTATAACGGTCAGGAATGTTCAGCTGTTACCATGGAGACACGTGTTCATGGTCCTGTTCACAAGTTTGATTTGACACAGAAAGATCAAAGTGAATAAAAAAAATAAAAATAAAAAAACTGTTGGAGCTAATGCCTCATTTGCATAAACTAATGTGTGTGATAAATGAGTGGGAATATGAGTGTTCTCCCTGTGACAGAGGGGTGTTCTCTCTGTGTGTCAGAGGGGTGTTCTCTCTGTGACAGAGGGGTGTTCTCTCTGTGTGACAGAGGGGTGTTCTCTCTGTGACAGAGGGGTGTTCTCTCTGTGACTCTCTGTGACAGAGGGGTGTTCTCTCTGTGTGACAGAGGGGTGTTCTCTCTGTGACAGAGGGGTGTTCTCTCTGTGTGACAGAGGGGTGTTCTCTCTGTGTGACAGAGGGGTGTTCTCTCTGTGTCAGAGGGGTGTTCTCTCTGTGACAGAGGGGTGTTCTCTCTGTGTGACAGAGGGGTGTTCTCTCTGTGTGACAGAGGGGTGTTCTCTCTCTGTGTGACAGAGGGGTGTTCTCTCTCTGTGTCAGAGGGGTGTTCTCTCTGTGACAGAGGGTGTTCTCTCTCTGTGTCAGAGGGGTGTTCTCTCTGTGTGACAGAGGGGTGTTCTCTCTGTGTGACAGAGGGGTGTTCTCTCCTGTGTCAGAGGGGTGTCTCTCTCTGTGTCAGAGGGGTGTTCTCTCTGTGTCAGAGGGGTGTTCTCTCTGTGACAGAGGGGTGTTTCTCTCTGTGACAGAGGGTCTCTCTGTGACAGAGGGGTGTTCTCTCTGTGTCTCTCTGTGTGTGACAGAGGGGTGTTCTCTCTGTGTGTCAGAGGGGTGTTCTCTCTGTGTCAGAGGGGTGTTCTCTCTGTGTGTGTTCTCTCTGTGTGTCAGAGGGGTGTTCTCTCTGTGACAGAGGGGTGTTCTCTCTGTTCTGTGTGACACAGAGGGGTGTTCTCTCTCTGTGACAGAGGGGTGTCTCTCTCCTGTGACAGAGGGGTGTTTCTCTCTGTGTCAGAGGGGTGTTCTCTCTGTGTGACAGAGGGGTGTTCTCTGTGTCTGTGTGACAGAGGGGTGTTCTCTCTGTGTGTGTGTCAGAGGGGTGTTCTCTCTGTGTGTCAGAGGGGTGTTCTCTCTGTGACAGAGGGGTGTTCTCTCTCTGTTGTGACACTCTCTCTGACAGAGGGTGTTCTCTCTGTTCTGTGTGACAGAGGGGTGTTCTCTCTGTGTCAGAGGGATGTTCTGCTGATGTTCAGTCTGTTCTGTGTTTGTGTCGTGTTGTTGGTTCATGTGAAACTTTTCACACATTATACGTGTGCAGGTGGTGCACACAGACACACGTTTATGTGAATGACACATATTGTGTGTCTTGGTGTTTTGTGGTGAGTGAGTCGGCGGTGACAGACACACATCAGAGGATCAGAGTTTTCACACAGTCCCCGTCACATCTGGACCAACATGAACTCATGGAGCTGGAGGCTCCAGATCGTTCAGACTCCATCAGATTAGTGTGAACGAACACTGTACACACAACAACACCACTCACATACACACTAGTGTGAACGAACACTGTACACACTAAGTGTGAATGGGGCATAGGAAACTAGAATATGTGTCCATTCACATAAATATGTGTCAACTGAGCTACTAGAACCATCTCCAACACGACAGAAACACAGAACAGACTCACCATCAGCAGAACACCCCTCTGTCACACAGAGAGAACACCCCTCTGTCACAGAGAGAACACCCCTCTGTCACAGAGAGAACACCCCTCTGTCACAGAGAGAACACCCCTCTGTCACAGAGAGAACACCCCTCTGTCACACAGAGAGAACACCCCTCTGTCACAGAGAGAACACCCCTCTGTCACACAGAGAGAACACCCCTCTGTCACACAGAGAGAACACCCCTCTGTCACAGAGAGAACACCCCTCTGTCACACAGAGAGAACACCCCTCTGTCACAGAGAGAACACCCCTCTGTCACAGAGAGAACACCCCTCTGTCACAGAGAGAACACCCCTCTGTCACAGAGAGAACACCCCTCTGTCACAGAGAGAACACCCCTCTGTCACAGAGAGAACACCCCTCTGTCACAGAGAGAACACCCCTCTGTCACAGAGAGAGAACACCCCTCTGTCACAGAGAGAACACCCCTCTGACACACAGAGAGAACACCCCTCTGTCACAGAGAGAACACCCCTCTGTCACACAGAGAGAACACCCCTCTGTCACAGAGAGAACACCCCTCTGTCACAGAGAGAACACCCCTCTGTCACACAGAGAGAGAACACCCCTCTGTCACAGAGAGAACACCCCTCTGACACAGAGAGAACACCCCTCTGTCACACAGAGAGAACACCCCTCTGTCACAGAGAGAACACCCCTCTGTCACACAGAGAGAACACCCCTCTGACACAGAGAGAACACCCCTCTGTCACAGAGAGAACACCCCTCTGACACAGAGAGAACACCCCTCTGACACAGAGAGAACACCTCACCCACCCTCTGTCACAGAGAGAACACCCCTCTGTCACACAGAGAGAACACCCCTCTGTCACAGAGAGAACACCCCTCTGACACAGAGAGAGAACACCCCTCTGACACAGAGAGAACACCCCTCTGTCACAGAGAAGAACACCCCTCTGACACACAGAGAGAACCCCTCTGTCACAAGAGAGAACACCCCTCTGTCACACAGAGAGAACACCCCTCTGACACACAGAGAGAACACCCCTCTGTCACACAGAGAGAACACCCCTCTGTCACACAGAGAGAACACCCCTCTGTCACAGAGAGAGAACACCCCTCTGTCACACAGAGAGAACACCCCTCTGTCACACAGAGAGAACACCCCTCTGACACACAGAGAGAACACCCCTCTGTCACAGAGAGAAACACCCCTCTGACACACACAGAGAGAACACCCCTCTGTCACACACACAGAGAGAACACCCTCTGTCACACAGAGAGAACACCCCTCTCTGTCACAGAGAGAACACCCCTCTGAACACACAGAGAGAACACCCCTCTGACACACAGAGAGAGAACACCCCTCTGTCACAGAGAGAGACACCCCTCTGTCACAGGGAGAACACCCCTCTGTCACACAGAGAGAACACCCCTCTGTCACACAGAGAGAGAACACCCTCTGATTTTCCACTGAGTCTCTGTGTCTTTAGTCCAACACAAACTGAACCACATCAGACACAAGAAACAATGGTTTTTTCACACATCAGTTTATGCAAATGAGTCATGTGATTTAAAGTTTAGTTTGTGTAAAACAGAAACAAATGTGTCAAAGTTGTGGAGGAAACAGACACAGAAGCGACGTGTCTGGACACAAATCAAAATGTGACTCAGGACACTTGGATCTGTCCTAAAACCCAAATAGATCTGATCTTTAACATGTGACTTCAGGTCGTCCAGGTCACGTTCATCCACCTACAAGTGTCACAAATGTTCACAAACCTTCTTCTCCTCACATGAAACTTGTGTCTGACTCTGTGTGAGTGAAGCATTTTCCGACTCATCTCAAATCTGCCGTTTTTGGCAAAGTCCTTGAAAAAGCTGTTTACCAACAGCTTACGAACTTTCTCCAAATGAACAACTCCTTTGATGTTTTCCAGTCAGGTTTTCGAGCCTCCACAGCACTGAGACTGCTCTTATCAAGGTGACAAATGACATCCGCCTGAACACTGATGCAGGCAAAGTCTCAGTCTTGATCCTGTTAGATCTGAGTGCTGCTTTTGACACTGTCGATCATGGATCCTCTTACAGAGACTAGAGGACTGGGTGGGCATCTCTGGTACTGTACTAAACTGGTTCAAGTCCTATCTAGAAGACAGGAAGTATTTTGTTGAAATTGGAAACTGTGTCTCAGATGACATGGCCCTGACCTGTGGGGTGCCTCAGGGGTCAATCCTGGGCCCCCTGTTGTTCAATCTCTACATGCTGCCCCCTACAGGCCAGTTAATAAGCAGCAATAACGTGTCGTACCACAATTATGCAGACGACACTCAGATCTACGTCTCTCTGGCAGCAGGAGACTATGGACCAGTGGAGTCACTTGGTCACTGCATCCAACAGATCAGTGTGTGGGGAGGCAAAACAACTTTCTCCAGCTAAACTCTGACAAGACTGAAGTCATAGTGTTTGGTCCACAGAAACAAAGGGACAGTGTCAGCATCACCTCCAGTCTCTCTCTCTAAAACCTTCAAATCAGGCAAGAAATCTCGGGGTAATAATGGACTCAGACTTGAACTTTAACAGTCCACATCAAATCAATAACATCTGCAGCCTTTTATACCATCTAAAAAACATAGCAAAAATCAAAGGTTTATTGTCTAAATCAGACTTGGAGAAATTATCCATGCATGTTTGTCTCCAGTAGATTAGATACTGTAATGTTCTGCTCACTGGTCTCTCCAAACGAGCTGTGAGACGCTGCAGAACATCCAGAACATCCAGAACATCCACAACATCCAGAACATCCAGAACATCCAGAACATCCACAACATCCACAACATCCAGAACATCCAGAACATCCAGAACGCTGCAGCTCGGGTCCTGACTCGAACTAGGAAGTACGAGCACATGTGTCCTGGTCTCAGGTCTCTGCTCTGGCTCCTGTGGCTCAGAGACTTTAAAAGTGTCTCTGTTTGTACAAGTGTCTCCATGGCCGAGCACCAAAGTCCATCTGTGACATGTTAGTGTCATATGAACATCTCACACTCTGAGGAGCTCAGGGACCAACTCCTGCTGGTGCCAGAGTCACGACTAAACAAGGGGAGTCAGAGTTTCAGGTTCATGCAGCTAAAACCTGGAACAGTCTGAACATGTGAGACAGACTCTTCTGTGACGCTGTTTAAATCCAGACTCTAAACATTTCTGTTTAACTGTGCAAATAACTGAAAGGTTTTCATTCCGCACTCTTCTCTCCAATTTATGTCTCTCTCTTTTAATTTTAATCTTCATGATTATTTATGTTTTGATTTGTTTTTATTCTGATTTTAATGTATTTCTTATTCTGTAAAACACTTTGAATGACTTTGTGTAAGAATTGTGCTGTACAAATAAACTTGCCTTGAAGCAAAAAAGTCACATTTCACAAAAAACTCTGCCCTCTGCCCTGAAGCCCCGCCCCTCTGTCCCTGAAGCCCCGCCCATCTGCCATGAAGCCCCGCCCCTCTGTCCTGAAGCCCCGCCCCTCTGAAGGATATCGTAGCCGAAGCGGATGATGTCGTTGAGCTTCAGGCTGATGTAAGTCTGGTCCGGGATCCTCAGGTCATTCACAAAGGTCTGAGGAAGAACCAGAGTTAGACCAGGACTAGACCAGGACTAGAACAGGACTAGACCAGGACTAGAACAGGACTAAACAGGACTAAGACAGGACTAAGACAGGACTAAGACAGGACTAAAACAGGACTAAACCAGGACTAAACCAGAACTAAACCAGGACTAAAAAAGGACTAAAACAGGACTAAAACAAACAGACTAAACTAAACCAGGACTAAACCTAAAAGACTAGAACTAGACTAAACAGACTAAACTAGACTAAGACAGGACTAAAACAGATCTAAAATAGAACTAAACCAGGACGACACCAGGACTAAACCAGGACTAAAACAGGATTAAACCAGGACTGAACAGACTGACCCCGTTGAGGCTGCCCAGGTCCTTGACCAGGTGCTGGTCGTTGGTCTGGTTGTAGTTGATGACGGCGTGTTGTTTGTCCACACTCCGAGACTGAGACGAGACACGAGTTAGACTGAGGGCGGGGTCAGGGGCGGGGTCAGGGGAGGGGTCAGGGGAGAGGGGCGGGGTCAGGGAGAAGGGGTGGGTCAGAGGTGTTGGGGGCGGGGTTAGGGGGTGCGTGTTGGGGTCAGAGGGGTTGGGGGCGGGGTTAGGGGGTACGTGTTGGGGTCAGAGGGTTGGGGCGGGGTTAGGGGTGCGTGTTGGGGTCAGAGGGGTTGGGGGCGGGGTTAGGGGGTGCGTGTTGGGGTCAGAGGGGTTGGGGGCGGGGTTAGGGGGTGCGTGTTGGGGTCAGAGGGGTTGGGGGTGCGGGGGGTTAGGTGGTACGTGTTGGGGTCAGAGGGGTTGGGGGCGGGTTAGGGGGTGCGTGTTGGGGTCAGAGGGGTTGGGGGCGGGGTTAGGGGGTGCGTGTTGGGGTCAGAGGGTTGGGGGCGGGTTAGGGGTGCGTGTTGGGGTCAGAGGGGTTGGGGGGGGGTTAGGGGTACGTGTTGGGTCAGAGGGGTTGGGGGTGGGGTTAGGGGGTGCGTGTTGGGGGTCAGAGGGGTTGGGGCGGGGGTTTAGGTGGTGCGTGTTGGGGTCAGAGGTGTTGGGGGCGGGGTTAGGGGGTGTGTGTTGGGGTCAGAGGGGTTGGGGCGGGGCTAGGTGGTACGTGTTGGGGTCAGAGGGGTTGGGGGCGGGGTTAGGGGTACGTGTTGGGGTCAGAGGGGTTGGGGGCGGGGCTAGGTGGTACGTGTTGGGTGGCGTCCTCACCTGCAGCATGAGCTCGCAGTCCTCTCGCCCGACAAAGATCATTTCTCTCGGGAGACGATGTCGAGTCCCCGACGCACTCACCAGGAACCACGACGTCACGCTCATGTCCGCGCCAGCCCCAGGGCATGCTGGGAAACCGCCACACACAGGCCGTCACCCACAGTCAGATGCCCTCCCGTCCTCCCCGTGTGTCAGATGCCCTCCCGTCCTCCCCGTGTGTCAGATGCCCTCCCGTCCTCCGTGTGTCAGATGCCCTCCCGTCCTCCCCGTGTGTCAGATGCCCTCCCGTCCTCCCGTGTGTCAGATGCCCTCCCCGTCCTCGTGTGTCAGATGCCCTCCCTCCCGTCCCCCGTGTCAGATGCCCTCCCGTCCTCCCGTGTGTCAGATGCCCTCCCGTCCTCCCGTCCTCCCAGATGTTGTGAAAATCATTTGTAGATTTGACTTTTGGAGATTTAGAAAATGATTTTCATTTGTCAAACTTTTGATTTGAACCTGATGAGAATAAAACAGAACTTTTATTATTTTAACAATCCAAAGACTAAACCCGGACTAATCCAGATCTAAACCCGGACTAAACCAGGTCTAAACCAGGTCTAAACCAGGACTAAACCCGGACTAAACCAGATCTAAACCCGGACTAAACCAGGGTTAAACCAGGACAAAAACCCAGACTAAACCCAGACTGAACCCGGACTGAACCCGGACTGGAACCCGGACTGGACCCGGACTGGACCGGGCTCCACAGATAACGCACATGCTGCGCCTGTCACGTGACCTGATGCCAACCTGCCAATGCCAATCAGTGACGTCACTGAACCGGACCACGCCCGGAACCGTCTCCATCCTCAGCATCAGAACCGGACCAGGACTAACCCAGGACTGACCCAAGACTCAACCAGGACTAACCCGGGACTAACCCGGGACTAACCCGGGCCTCCCCGCGTGCCCCGCGTCCCCCGCCCGTTTCCCGCTCTACCTCCTCCAGATGCTGCCGCTGCTCCACCGAGCCCTCCGCCGTCTGCAGCCCGGGGAGAGGCGCTCCGAGGCGGGCAGCGTGTGAAGGACGAGCCGCTGTGAGAGGCTGAGATCCGCAGGGGGCACCGGGCCGTGTCCGCGGCTGTGGCCGGAGACAGAGCGCTGCAGGGCGGACACGGAGGCTCGGAGCTCCGCTGAGGAAGAGGATGAAGAAGAGGATGAAGATGAGGATGCTGTTATGGCATCCCGGTGCACGCGCACGCGCACCCGCCACCACCAGCGCGTCACCTGCTGCGTGCGCGCGTCACCATCCACCGGAAACGTTGCGGTGAGGTTTCAAAATAAAAGCGCAGTGTCTCAGGTGTCTCCAAAATAAAAGTTTATATCCAGTGTGTATCTGTGAGTATCATAGGGGTGTGCAAAAATATTGAAATATCGATATATCGTATCTTTTAATATGACGATACAGTATCGATATCGTGGGCTGCTGTATCGATACATCGCAGTTTTTTTTTTCTATATTTAACTAAATAATTTTGTTACAGCGCCACAGTTTTGTTGCTTGTTTAGAGAAAGGAAACTCGTACATGTGACACATTTGACATTTTCACTGTTTTGATGATTAAAATGTTTGTGTTTCATATGAACTTTACACAAGACGTGATTTAACAAAGACTTTTAGTGTCACAGCCACGATTTAGCCTTTATTGTTATTAAACCATATTGATTGGAATTGAAATATATCGTATTGAATCAAAAGCTCAGTGTATCGAGATATGTATCGTATCGCCAACTTCTTAATGATATCAGCCCTAGTGTATCATGTATATAATCTACATCATGTATATAATCTACATCATGTATATAATCTACATCATGTATATAATCTACATCATGTATATAATCTACATCATGTATATAATCTACATCATGTATATAATCTACATCATGTATATAATCTACATCATGTATATAATCTATATCATGTATATAATCTATATCATGTATATAATCTACATCATGTATATAATCTATATCATGTATATAATCTACATCATGTATATAATCTACATCATGTATATAATCTACATCATGTATATAATCTATATCATGTATATAATCTACATCATGTATATAATCTATATCATGTATATAATCTATATCATGTATATAATCTACATCATGTATATAATCTACATCATGTATATAATCTATGTATATAATCTACATCATGTATATAATCTAATCATGTATATAATCATGTATATAATCTATCTACATCATGTATATAATCTACATCATGTATATAATATACATCATGTATATAATCTACATCACAGGTGTCAAACATAAGGCCCAGGGGCCAGATCCGGCCCCCCAAGACCTTTAATGTGGCCCGTGGGTGATTTTCTACTAAAATATTGTAATGATATTTTCTATTAAAATGTTGTTAATTTTGTGTGGTGTTTATCACAGCAGCGTCTCCAGCGTCTCTGTACGTGGCCCCTCCCACCAGAGCAGCACAAATGAAGACTTGTCTCTTTCCAAACGCTCTTAAAGGACGATCGTTTTGACTGTTGACCGTGACACCCTCATCAGAAAAATGTCCAACATGAGAAAAGTGGAGCCGAGTGCAGGATTTTACTACAAAAATGGACTTATTCTGTTTACAGACAAGTTCATGTTAAAATATTGTGTTGAAATTGAATTTTTCTTAAAGTTTCAGGTTGTTCATAATATTATAATATTATAATAAGAAAGAGTTCATCGATTAAAAAAGATTTCTGTAATAGATTTGCGTTTCTCTGCACAAATATTTGAACTTATTGTTATTTTTGGGGTTTATATGACATGAGTTTTCTGATCCGGCCCCAGGAACAAAATGAGTTTGACACCCCTGATCTACATCATGTATATAATCTATATCATGTATATAATCTATATCATGTATATAATCTATATCATGTATATAATCTACATCATGTATATAATCTATATCATGTATATAATCTACATCATGTATATAATCTATATCATGTATATAATCTATATCATGTATATAATCTACATCATGTATATAATCTATATCATGTATATAATCTATATCATGTATATAATCTGTATATAATCATATATCATGTATATAATCTATATCATGTATATAATCTACATCATGTATATAATCTATATCATGTATATAATCTATATCATGTATATAATCTATATGTATATAATCTATATATATATCTATATCATGTATATAATATATATCATGTATATAATATATCTATATCTATGTATATAATCTACATCATGTATATAATCTATATCATGTATATAATCTACATCATGTATATAATCTATATCATGTATATAATAATCTATATCATGTATATAATCTATATCTATATCATGTATATAATCTATATCATGTATATAATCTACATCATGTATATAATCTATATCATGTATATAATCTACATCATGTATATAATCTATATCATGTGGTCCGTGTGCCGCTCGTTCTTTTGATTTTCACTTAAGAACAAAAAAACGATGAAATGGGGAAATCGTTCACAACAATCACAGCAGCTGTTTTATGATTGTTTATTTGAAATCAACTTTAGACTTAGACTTGATTTAAACTTTATTGACCCACAAGGGAAATTATATATATATATATATATATATATATATATATATATATATATATATATATATATATATATATATATATATATATATATATATATAAATATAAACGGCAATAATAAAGCAGCAAAAAGATAGAAAGAGACGTGTCAAAATAAACTTTAAATTAAATATTAAAATGAAAATAATGAAATGACCATTTTATTGTTTTTCATTCTTAATTGGACAAATGATAATGAACATAGTGCTGTCATGTGATTAAAAAATTGAGAGATTAATTAATTATGATCTGTAATTAATTAATCTAATTAATCTCATTTTAATCTCACCTAAAAATTGCTGAGAAAAGCTTCAATTTGAGGTATTTTCATTTAAATTCATTATTACATTATTGTGGCAGATGAAAAGACTGATATAGATTAAAAAAAGTGACTTTATAAAGTCATTTATTGTTTAACAAATCTGTCCAAATTGTCTGTTGAGCCCAAGTCTCCATGAATAAGAAACTGTTTGTTGTAAAGTAGCAAAGACGAGGAAATCTGAACATAATAACTTTTGTCGACTTAAAAGAATAAAAAGTCCAGTTTAACCTTAACCTTAACCATATTAAAAATATTATTGATAGAGAAATGCTTTATATATGAGATCACTGGTTTTAGTCCTGGTTTAGACCTGGTTTAGACCTGCTTTAGTCCTAGTTTAGTCCTAGTTTAGTCCTGGAATGGATTAATCCTGTTTTAGTCCTGGTTTTAGTTCTGGTTTTAGTCCTGGTTTAGTCCTGGTTTAGACCTGATTTAGACCTGGTTTTAGTCCTGGTTTAGTCCTGGTTTAGTTCTGGACTGGATTAGACCTGGTTTTAGTCTTGGTGTTAGTTCTGGTTTTAGTCCTGGTTTAGTCCTGGTTTAGACCTGATTTAGACCTGGTTTTAGTTCTGGTTTTAGTCCTGGTTTAGTCCTGGTTTTAGTCCTGGTTTAGACCTGATTTAGACCTGGTTTAGTCCTGGTTTAGTCCTGGTTTAGACCTGATTTAGACCTGGTTTAGTCCTGGTTTAGTCCTGGTTTAGACCTGATTTAGACCTGGTTTTAGTCCTGGTTTAGTCCTGGTTTAGTTCTGGACTGGATTAGTCCTGGTTTTAGTCTTGGTGTTAGTTCTGGTTTAGAGGTTCACAGGAGGTTTGTGGTTTACGCCGCGTAGTGAGAAAACACGATCCACACGCGGCTCACGGGAGCAGGTCTGTGTCCACACAGGAACTACAGAAGGAAACATGGTCCACGTGTTAATGACGATGATGAAGGTGTGTGTGTGTGTGTGTGTGTGTGTGTGTGTGTGTGTGTGTGTGTGTGTGTGTGTGTGTGTGTGTTGTGTGTGTGTGTGTGTGTGTGTGTGTGTGTGTGTGTGTGTGTGTGTGTGTGTGTGTGTGTGTGTGTGTGTGTGTGTGTGTGTGTGTGTGTGTGTGTGTGTGTGTGTGTGTGTGTGTGTGTGTGTGTGTGTGTGTGTGTGTGTGTGTGTGTGTGTGTGTGTGTGTTGTGTGTGTGTGTGTGTGTGTGTGTGTGTGTGTGTGTGTGTGTGTGTGTGTGTGTGTGTGTGTGTGTGTGTGTGTGTGTGTGTGTGTGTGTGTGTGTGTGTGTGTGTGTGTGTTGTGTGTGTGTGTGTGTGTGTGTGTGTGTGTGTGTGTGTGTGTGTGTGTGTGTGTGTGTGTGTGTGTGTGTGTGTGTGTGTGTGTGTGTGTGTGTGTGTGTGTGTGTGTGTGTGTGTGTGTGTGTGTGTGTGTGTGTGTGTGTGTGTGTGTGTGTGTGTGTGTGTGTGTTGTGTGTGTGTGTGTGTGTGTGTGTGTGTGTGTGTGTGTGTGTGTGTGTGTGTGTGTGTGTGTGTGTGTGTGTGTGTGTGTGTGTGTGTGTGTGTGTGTGTGTGTGTGTGTGTGTGTGTGTGTGTGTGTGTGTGTGTGTGTGTGTGTGTGTGTGTGTGTGTGTGTGTGTGTGTGTGTGTGTGTGTGTGTGTGTGTGTGTGTGTGTGTGTGTGTGTGTGTGTGTGTGTGTGTGTGTGTGTGTGTGTGTGTGTGTGTGTGTGTGTGTGTGTGTGTGTGTGTGTGTGTGTGTGTGTGTGTGTGTGTGTGTGTGTGTGTGTGTGTGTGTGTGTGTGTGTGTGTGTGTGTGTGTGTGTGTGTGTGTGTGTGTGTGTGTGTGTGTGTGTGTGTGTGTGTGTGTGTGTGTGTGTGTGTGTGTGTGTGTGTGTGTGTGTGTGTGTGTGTGTGTGTGTGTGTGTGTGTGTGTGTGTGTGTGTGTGTGTGTGTGTGTGTGTGTGTGTGTGTGTGTGTGTGTGTGTGTGTGTGTGTGTGTGTGTGTGTGTGTGTGTGTGTGTGTGTGTGTGTGTGTGTGTGTGTGTGTGTGTGTGTGTGTTGTGTGTGTGTGTGTGTGTGTGTGTGTGTGTGTGTGTTGTGTGTGTGTGTGTGTGTGTGTGTGTGTGTGTGTGTG